CTGCACACTGGCATGGGCAAGGGCGAGGAGAGTCAATCTGTCTGCAGATGTGTATAAAAAAGTCATCGAGGTGCTGGAGAGGGTCCAGAGAAATGCGATGAAGCTGGTGAAGGGTCTCCGGAATAAGTCTTATAAGGAGCAGCTGAGGCACTTGAGGCTATGTAGTCTGCAGGAAAGGAGACTAAAGGGAGACCTTCTCGCTCTCTACAGCTCCATGAGGGAGGATGTAGCAAGGTGGGTGTTGGGCTCTTCTCACAAGTTACAACCAATGGGACAAGTGGAAATGGCTTCAAGTTACACCAGGGGAGGTTTAGATTAAACTTTAGGGAAAACTCCTACACTGAATCTTCTGCACTTATCGAAGACTGAGCCAGGCTGCCCAGGGTGGCGCTTGAATCCCATCTTTGGCTGTGTTCCAAAGCCGTCTAGATGTGGTGCTCAGGGACGTGGGTTAGAAGTGGTAGAGTTAGAGAATGGTTGGACTTGATGATCTTGAATCTCCAGCCATAATGAATCTATGTTAATGCAATGAAAATAATACAGAATTAATCACTTATTACCTGCAGCCTCATGCCATTTGTAGCTGAAATGAAGAAGTGTATCCAAAGATCAAGTATGTGAGAAATGCAGCTGTAGGAGGAAATCATAGAATCGGAGGTTGGAAAAGACCTTTAAGATGGTCAAGTCCAACTGTTAACCCAGTCACACAAAACATATGTGGAAAAACTATTCTTTCATAGAAAATTGTGAAGGTATGGGGCGGGGAAAGACCAAGCCTTCTGTTCTCATTTCTGTCCCTCAGCAACACCAACAGTGCAGAGCCAGGCACGCACAGGGGTGACCGTGTCGTCCAAGGCACCTGCGAAACACTCATGAGCAATAACCATGCGTCCAGAAATGAGAAGTGATTTGCAGACAGAAAGGGATTACGTTTGTTGGATTAGAAAACATTTCTGAGATGAATCATCTGATTGCTTCTTCCGTGGAGTAAATATGCACTTGGTACCCATCGCATGTCGTGTGCAGCGTGGGAAAACGTGGCGTCTTGGCCGCTGTTGAATTTGAAGGCTGTCCTGTGCGGAGGATTCCAGCCAAATTCTGCAAGGTCTTCAAGTTGCTTCGCTCCCACAGTGTTAGGGAACTCACGTGGGTTTTGGGTAAAGGGAGAGAGAAGAGTGCTCTGGGCTACTGAAGGATCATGTATGGAGTGAAATATTTAACCTGTTTTCAAAGAACCTTACACAGAATATCATTTTTAGTTTAAAGCCGAGATGCTTTCACCACAATACAAGGTGCTCCATCAGGGGCTGAACAAGACCAAAACGTTTTCTCCTTGTTACATTTTTAGAAATGCGTTTTGTGATTTTTTTTTCATCGCACCTGACAAATCTTTCTCAAAAGTTAAACACCTGTTTCGGTTTCAGTCCTGGGTTTTCAGGTTTCATATGGCAATCGTCTACTGCGTACTTGTTAATTATTGAGGTATAAAATAAAGTTTATTTTAACAGGTTTTCACCTCAATCTATGATACTCATGCACCTAGGAATTAATAAAGCAAAATTTCTTATTTATCTTCGAGAGCTGCTTTAAGAAAATACCTGTGTATATCAAGTGAAACAGCAAGAGGTCTCATGTTCCTCTCTGCACTGCTGTATCTCGCTTTTCCTCAGCAGGA